CATTGACCATTCTAGTCGCACACAATAGGCGAAGCAGCCGACCTAGGGGGTACCGTCAGCATCAGAGCCTACACGTTTAGCTATCGAGCAAAGGAGTGCCAAGTACAAGAACATACGAAGCAGATTGGGTTCACACTCATGTTGACATAACTTGAGGAGCTCGTCAAGGGACTTCTCGCCACCACCTATCGCAGTCCAACCCTTGAAGAGCCCCAAGTCGACACAGGTCATTAGTGCCGCAAAGGAGTTCGTCTCCTCATATGTCTTGATATAAGCCTGCTCTTGTACTGAAAGCAGGTTGGTGGCCAAGCGACGAGCCGCGGCTACGAGCTTGAGCCGCTCAGCATTGTCCCCTCGCACATCGTCGAGGCTGATCTGATCGAGCGATGCCACGATCTCGGAGACGCTACTGGTCATCATCTTGAAAGGGGCTTCTGTTCTTGATAAGCCGGATTCTTTTTCCCACTGATCGCAGAAATCAACTAGACGGGTGCTGCTTGGGGAGGATAGGCTAGGGTAGGTACCGTGGGAAATCACGCCGCCGCCAGAAACCTCTATCAGCGGACGAAACGATCCTTATTTATGGCATCTACTACGGCGGGGTTTCGCTTTGCCTCGCCTCGCGTCGCCTCGCGTCATCCAGGCCCCCATGAAGTCTAACCATATGCTTTCCGGGTTAAATACCACAACATCAAGCGAGGCTATCGCGCATGCGGTAACCCGGAGGGTACACATGCAGAGGCTTCGATAAGGAGCTTGGTACTGCCCGAGGTCGACCGGGGACATCTCAGCACCATTTCAACCAGGCGAACTGTTTGGGACTATAACCTTCCTAGACCACCTGCATTTCGGGGCCTGTTGTGCCGGAGGCATTCCCCAACACGTGCAGCATTCCGGCAGCCGTGGGCACGGGGACAGATCTGCGAGACGGAGGCAAGCGGACGACCCCCCACCTCCAGGTTATGTCTGTAGCTCCCTTGGAGGCCGTAGGTCGGGCATCCTGCAACGGAGTTTTCCCCTTAGCCTACGCAAGAGGAAGCCGCTGCTCCGGACCGAGTTCTCGGAGTCGACCCACTTACCCGGCGCCGGCAGCGCCCGCGTTCGCATACGCTTGAATACGTGCGTCTTCGGGCCTCAATATACTCACCTTCCGGCCTAGGCCTGAGCTATCTGCAAGAGACTTTTACTTTTCGTGGCAAGCCGGCTGATCCATGACTTTGGGACGCAGGTTGCCTTGGGTGCCAGCCACATATGCAGACAAGGTCACACTCCCCCGCGCGCGGCCACCTGTGGAAGGCCTGGAGTACGGCTTGTCACATCCGCTACCACCCACTCTACGGGATAATGAGTTTCAAACGATGTCCAGTGGACAGCGTTTGCAGGCACTTGGCTCCTCGGGTATTATAATAGGTGTGAACGGCCAGCAGGGTGTGCGGACTTGCACACTTTTGTACAAGGGAGATCTACAATGATGGAACGATACAACTTAGATGAGCCACGAATATTGGCCAGGGTATCTAGTTGATGGGCATCCCGAGTGCCTCGCGGCGCCCAGTCGACGCAGGGTCAAGATACGGGACCTCGCCAATACCCGAGGCCCGTACTCCAACCCTGACCCCCCCAGCGAGGTGCGTATCCGGCTAGGCCACAAAGACTCTCGGTCAACACGGAGTCCGGTTGCTTACTGACATCAATACACGAAGAGTACTCACCGTGGCGGCGTGCAGCGTACAAGCATTGCTCCAGATGGCACAGGCCTGGCGCGTCCAGTGCATGCGTGCGACGCAGTCGTGGTTTCGCGTCACGAGGCGCATCACATAGTCCCTTATCATCTGATCCTCGTAGTTGTAAACGCCATCGATGCGCGAGACGTGGAGGCCGACGGCGGCAAAGACCGACTTCCAACCAGTCACAGGATGCGTGCGTACGACGGGGTGCGAAGGCGCGAACTCGAAATCGCGGTTCCGTGGCGACCCGCGCGGCGACATGACCTCGTAGCCGCCGGCCTCGCAGGCCGACTTGAAGACGGGCTGGGCACATGTCGCCGTCAAGGTCTCAAGGTAGGAGCGGAAAGACGGCGACATGCGGTCGTAACTGTTAGGTGGCCCCCATGAGAGGCTTCTGTCAGTAACGATACTACGCAGTACCTACGGGCCATTCTTGGCAGCATTGCAATCAAACATGAGGGTAACGACGAAACGTGGAAGAGTGGGATGACGGATCGATATGCCACGCTGGAGCGGCCGGCCGGACGCACAGTTCGTAGCCCGAGCACCAGAGAGTGTCACCCCCTGCAGCCGGTGTATCCTGCATACGAAGGAAGCTGAAGTCCGAGGGGCAGTTCTCGAAGAGACCTGGGCAGACCAATCAGCTCTTCTCCCGGATCAATATTGCAGCAAGGTAAGCGCATCTTGGGGGCAATTGCCCAGGTATTCCTGTGAGTAAGACCAATGGCGGCGAGCTGACTCACTGTCGCTATGCCACTCCCTGGCCAGGTCCCTCGGCTCGCTGTCCTCCCCTGGACGGCCCTTCATCGTCTTGTAGATCTTCTTCATGGCCTCCGAATTGATCACGTAGCTGACGGGAAAACGACTGAGTCAGATTCCGCCCGTTCGTTCAGGGGTCAAAGCCCCGGCCACGCGTCGGAGAACACGCACATGTTGGGGTCCCGCGTCCCATCGGCCATGGGGATGTTGTTGGGGTCGTTGTAGAGCGGATGCACGTGAAGGCCATGCTCGCGCGGTCTGCCGGTGAGCTGACCAAGCAGGTAGGTGACCTGCTTCTGCTCCTCGACCGTGAGGTCGTCCTGCGGCGCGCGGAAGAAGACGACGCCCCTCTCGCAGACGGTTATCGCGAGATCGCGCAGCTGCTGCTCCGAGTCCGGAGCGTGCAGCATGTCCCGGATCCTGGCGGTAGGGAACTCCCTCCCGATGATGGGCGTGACGTCGACGTACTCGAGGTGGTCGATGGAGCCCGAATTCTTCAGCGGCTCACGGCGGAGCCTCGGTATCCCGGCGGCGCGGCCGTTGGATCCGATCCCGTCTTCCGCGACGGAGGGCATGGCTGTCTTCGGCCTTCGGGTGCGGGAACTGGCCGATAAAGCCCGGCGACAGCAACGGAGCAAGGGGGGAACAACCTCTTTCTGGAAAGTGGGCAACTGTCTGTCCTCAGTGAGTCCAGAACTCGAACTCGACTTCACAATCAGGCATGGTCGAAAGATTATACCTAGCTGTTCCGTGGGATTTTGGAGTAGCCTCGGCGATATATACCGAGGAGTGGCAGGATACCAACTGCCGGGTCGTAGGGGATGCGCATGATGCCTCCGCACTGTCCTCCCCTCCTTGATCGCATCGTTCTCGCCTTCCGTGACTGGCTGCCTACCTACTCCAATACCAGCAGACTCATGTTGCAGGTGCCACGACGGGCGTTTTTGGCTAAATCGTCTGCGATGGGTGGTGGGCGACCGGCTTCCCGGAACGAGAAGGCCGCGCTGGGGTGGGCGGCCCCTGGACAGACCGGCCTCGTCGTCGCCTGCCCCCCTTGCCTTTCTTGACACGCCCGACGCAATAGCTGCTTTGGCTCTCTATACCCGTCAGCAACGGGGAGATAGGTTCTGAAAAATGCACGGTGCCGCCGCGGTGACCGCGAACCCGCTGAAGCTCGATGTCCGCAGTCATCTCAAGTGCCTGGCCATCTGCTTCATTGCTACGGTTGCCGTATTCCAATAGGGTATGTTCACATCCGTCTAAGGCACGGGGCTGTGTTTACTGACTAGTACTTGCTCACAGGCCTTGATTATGCTCTTGTCGGAGGCTTTCTATCGTGCGTGGTCGGTTGCAGAGAGCCAACACGTTCATAATGAATGACGGCGTGCAGCATGCCGGGCTTCTTGCGAGTCTACGGATACTACGATGCCAGTAGCGGCTCCTGGCACATCGATGTGAGGGCTAGTGTTGCCCCTTAATATGATGCCCGAGAGCTGGACGGCCTTGAAGCCCACAGCTCAGCAACTGATAACCAGTCTCATGACAATCGGGACTGTCTTGTCATCGCTCCTGATCGGCCCGGACCTGCAGCTCATGAGCATCGTCTCGGGCCTCGAGCGGAACGTCGAACCACTGGGAGAGGCTGCTGGTCGGCGCCGGGCTGGAGAATCGTCGGCGTCTCGCGCCACCAGCGCGCCTTCGAGAAGCGTCATTGAGGCGGAAGCTGGCGTGAGTGCGAGCGAATGCAACTGGCTCGTGGCGAATGCCATCAAGTATGTTTTGAGGACAGGTAGCACGTGCTTCGTACTTCATGACCGGGAGCTTGCCCCTCGAGTAAATACCAGTAGAAGAGTACCGCAGGGGCGAACATAGCGTGCTGTTAAGCCTCCTCACTCACACACAAACGAGTTACCACTATCCGGATCTCCCCTGGTAAACCTCGCAGTGGCCGCCCACGGACACAGACGGCTTTTCTCGTCCTGTCACTTCCATCTGCCGGGTCCGGCGCAGGGAAGCTCTGCGGCTCCATGCCACGCTCGACCCAATCGATTGAGGGAGCCATCACATGCTACAGCTGTATTCCGGTACAGCGCTCAATCACCGATGGTATCGGAACACTGTTCCTGGACAGCGCAACATGCCAATCCCACACGCTGACATCGACTCTTCTCGTCTTTTGGGCCCAGAGCTCCCAGTCCAGAAGACCCATTCAACGCCCAGCACCGGCCGTTTCAGGGGTGTTGGCTCTCGGCCGAGCCGGTGAAACAGCGCAGGAAGCTGTGGGCAGTCCAGTCCAGTCGCCCAGACAAGCAATGTCGTTGCCCACAGGCGGGCTGAGATAAGGGCAAGGAGGTTTCTGTATAGTACTCCCACAACCACCAGTGACGGCGCTTAAAATGAACCCGTTCAAAAATCCACATGATTACGAAGTCCGGTTCACGGATTTCGAGGAGTTGAACACAAAAGAAAGGGTGCAAGAGGGGAAGAGGAATAACGAAAAGGAGGAAAAAGAAACTCCGAATCGGGGAATCGAACCCCGGGCTTGACGGATCACTCGAAACGAGATGAGAGCGTCAAATGTTAGCCACTACACCAATTCGGATTGAAAAAATCTGATCTAATCAAAGTTTATATAGCTCGCCAAAATGTGGAGCAGATTCGATGACTTTTAGAGTGAGGGATCTGTGTGGAGGAACCCTCACTCTCATACTACGCTCTTGCGTGATACAAGCCAAAAGCAGCACCAGGAAAATGCGGCAAAATCAGCCATGGAATTGGTATTCCTTGTCTGGATGCTTCGAATGGCGACGTACGACATCCCGCTTGCATTGTCGCCGAATGTAAATGAGGAAATAAAAGTGTTTTGTCGATGCCGTAGTGGCCGCGTTGCTTCCGGTGCTTAAAGAGGTATGTACCGGCACCAGTCGCGAGCTGCAGAGGCGTGGCTGTATGGGTCAACACGATGAACTCCGACATCTGGTAGATATGAGCCCGGTTCTCGTGCTTCATTGGGATCTGCAAAGGAGCGTGCCGGTCAATAGGTTGATGGCAAGACGCCCGATTCAACTGCAATAGCGACACGACAAAGCTCCTACGGTAGGTAGGTATATAACAGCATGATGCTGCCACCGTTATGTTTCCGATCCAGGTGACGTACAACTGTGCTTTTCTCGATACAAATCGACCATGGCTTTTGTGTGGCTGCTCCATGCCGCGGTCGAGGAGTTCTCCATGACTGCGAGGACATCCATCTCTACCCAGGCGGCTCGGCGAGTACATCGCCTACCCAGTTCCTACGGTACCTGAAGCAAGCCCTGGAGACTCATTCAGATGGTTTTAGCTTCAGCCGACGCGATACTGGACGCAGAAGGTAGCTACGGTATGTATAAGAGCCTAGGCGGTCTGACGGGTATCGATGAAGAAGCAATGATATTACAAGTAGGTATTCTCAGGTTCGCGGCTGTCTCGGGGCCATCATCACCACCATCATCATCATCACCTGAATGCGTGGTTCCGATCGAAGGAGAACGAGGCCCTGAACAGCTGGGCGCGCTTCCAGTCCTCGCGGTCGATCTCCTCCTCCTGCCTCTTCAGCTTCCACTCGAGGTAGGTGGCCTCGCCCTGCAGGACCTTGATCTTGTCCCCCTCGAGCTTCTCGTACAGGTTCCAGTCGTCCAGCTGCGACGGCTTCGGCACCGCCCGCAGCTGCTCCATGGGCTTCTGGTTCGCCGCTTGCTCGATCGTCAGCTCCAGCCGGTACGTGTTGGTCACGTCGTCCAGCTTGAAGCCGTACTGCGTGATGGTGAAGCTGCGCAGTTTCCTCGCGTCAGTAAGGCTGGGTGGATGGGGAGAGAAAGGGGGGAAGAGAGAGAGAGAGAGAGAGAGAACTCCAATCCCGGCTTCGGGGGACGGGGCTCGAGCTGGCAAGATGACGACGACGACGACGACGACGACTACTACTTACAGGCCATCGTATCGGACACCAGCTTGCGGGGCAAAGATGCTCTTGAGCCGGTATCCGCGCAATATTCGGATCTGCCGCCCGACCTGCGAGATCAGGGCGATGTGCATGTCGGACAACCGTCCCTGGCGGGTGTACTTGAACACGTTCGGCCGCACCAGTTCCTCTTGGCCCGTGAGGAGGGGGAGGGCAGAGATGCCGTACCGCCCCTTGGTGGACTTCTCAAACGAACTAGCGACGATCCCGTCTCGACCCGCACAGGTGATGTTCAACCACCAGCTATATGTATGTATGGCCCCGGTCAACACGAATGACGAAGAAGAGAAAGAAAGAAGAAAAAGAAGAAGAAGGAGGAGGAGGAGGAGGAGGAGGGGGCGGATTCGCGCCGCACTCACTGTCCGGCCTCGAACTGCTGGTTGTTCTCGAGCTCCGACATGGGGCAGTTGACCTTGGTCTGCCACTTGCCCAGGTCGTAGCTCAGCGAGCTGTCGAACGACACGTCCTTGAGCCGGCCGCCCTGCACCAGCACGGCGCACCGGTGCTGGTCCAGCATGAAGTACCGCTCGCGGAAGCGCCGCCGCCAGATGCGCCGCAGGCTCTCGGCCCGCGCCGCGTCGGCGCGGTTCAGGCGCGCAGCCGGTGCCGGCGCCGATGCCCCCGACGGCACCGCCGCTGCTGCTGCTGCTGACGACGTCGTCGTTGCCCCGACGAGGTCCCCGGACGACTCGTCATCGGCGTCGGCAGCCGCGGTAGCGGCGGCGAACTGCAGCATCTCGCCCAGCAGCTTGTCGAGACGCGCGAACTCGATGGCCTCGAGGCCGAGCGATGGGCCCCCGCCCCCACGCCGCCGCCGCCCCCGCCGCCGCTCCCGCCCCTCCCGGCTCTGGTCCCCCCGGCCCCGATGCTGCTGCCCATGCCGATGCTGCTGCTGCTGCTGCCGTCGCTGCTGCTCCTCCCGCAGCTCCTCCTCCTCGTCGCGCAGCGCCGCCTCGAGGAAGCTGCTCAGCTTGTCGGCGTAGTCGGGCCCGACGGCCTCGCCGCGCCGCAGGCGCGCGCGCACCGCGTCCGACAGCTCCAGCAGCGCGCGCGGGTCCCAGTCGAGGTCGGCCGACTCGTCCGAGGCCTCGTCCGAGGAGGACTCATCCGAGGAGGAGGTGGGGGAGGCGTCTTCCAGGGACTCTTCGCTGTCTGACACCGCTACCCCGGGGGGGATTAGTCTCTGCTGGTGAGTAATGTGTGGTCGGGGTGAGTGTCTCTGACACCGAGGGAGGGGGGAGGGGAGGCAATTGAAATGCGCGGGCGTCTGACTTACTGCGCGGAGACGGCGACCTCCTGCTGAAGGATCGAGCCACGGTGCCGTCGAGGCTGAAGTGCCGTATGGTAGGGCTCAAGACCTGCGAAGGGGGGCGGGCGGACCCGTCTCTCTCTCTCAGCGATGCTATCTACTTACCTACCACCACTAGAGGAGGCAGGAGGCCGGGAGGATAAAAGCCACGAAGTCGGTCAGTCCATACATACCTGTGCCATGATGTCCTTCTGCCGGCTGAAGAGCGAGCGGTTCTCGCCATCGTCGCTGATGCGCAGGAAGCTCGGCTTGTTGCTGCTGTTGCGCCGGCCCTCCGCGTACGACGACAGCGGGCGGATGCTGCTGTTGTTGTGCCTTGCCAACCGCTCGAGTACGCTCATCTTGCTTCTTTTTCTTTTTCCTCCTCTTCTTCTCTTCTTATTTTGCCTGAGGAGCTCGTATAAATAATAGACAGCTCGTCGAGGACTCCGCCGGGCTTGAGATGCTATTCTGTCGCTTCGTGAAGTGTCAAGCCAAGGTTAGGCCACTACTGCCCGGCTCATTTCCCACGCCACGAGATCATTTCAGGGCCGCGACGAACTCTGGAGACGTGGCGACTCGGAAACAAAGAAGAGGGCGGCTCAGCCCTCGGGGGCTATTGTGGATTGGACAAAGAGCCAATGGGTAGGTACCTACTGACTTACTTACCTGTTTGTTGTCTCCAGAGTGAGATCGGGGCATGTGGCGCGAGCCGTCAACGCATGGTCAGGAGCGACTTCAAAGGTTAAAAAAGACATGGTACACGCTGCCGTTGTCCTTGTTGTTGTTGTTACTTCTTATGATGCAACCGCCTCCGGCCCATCCCTGCCAACCTGCCTGGGCATAACGACACGGGCAAGTCCGTCCTCGGTTGCCATCTGAGCAATTAATGCCCCCGCGGAACGTAATGTAGGTCTTCATCCACCTACGGTACTTCCTAATGTGATGAGTACGTGGGAGGTAGGGGGGAGAAGCACTCACGCACGTAGCGATAACTCCTATCGCAGCTTCTCTGCTCCTCTGCCGCCTACTACTAAGGCAAGTAAGAGCTAAGTAGCAAGGTTGAGGCAGTGCTCGAACAAACATACCTACCTAGGTGGATAGCCTCAGTACTAGAACTCACATCTTGAGCCCCGTGCTTGGTGGCTCCCCACGCCAAGGGAAACTTGACTACGAAGGGCCGTCAGCAGCAGGTTTCGAGGTATCCCGTCGGCAGTCGTACGGAGGAAATGAGCAGCTGTTCCCTATGCAGACCAACACATGTGTGCATGATATCCCGAAGTAACAATTGGAAAATGCGGGGTGAGGCAGGTATGAGTAAAGCTAACTCGGCTATCTATTCATAGCAAAAGGGGTATCTTGTCTATAGAGCTGGTATGCTCGCGAGCATATCATCGAAAATGCTAACACGTCCATACCATGATATCTTGAGGCATCCACCTTCCTCGCTGATCTAATCCGTCATGGAAACCGTGCTGCCTCTGCGCTTCCATACCAGACGTCCACGTGACAGGCCTCGTGCAGGTTCGACCATTGTCTAGGGACCTTGCTTATCTTGGACTGAAGTCAATCCCCGTACTTTTTTTCTGGAAGAAAATCTTTTCCATCCCTTGGCACATTCGCAAGCACTCATTGGTTAGCAAGACTAGAGACATCAGGGACACTGAAGTGGTTGGGTTCGCATTTGTAGGAGCCCGAATGCGTTCCCATCCAGAAGAACGTCGCTGCTCGGCTACTCATTGGGGTTGGTCTGCTGAGCGGGAGTTCCTTGAAGCTCCCGGAGAACCATTGTTGCATACTGGCTCGTGTCCAGGGAGAACCGAAGGATCACTGCAATCTTGTCCGGGCCATTGGAACCGGCTTTCTGTTGTTCTGCCTCGGTTTGGGATGCCGTGGCGTTTGGAACGTCGGACGAAGGCCGAGATCCATCGACCTCCGATTGCATAGGCTCAGGGCCTTGTTCAACGTCAGTGTCATGCAAACCACCCGTCGCTCCATGTTCATCTGCAAACGCTGCATCTGATGCTCCTTGGGAAGACTTCGACAACTGGTTGTCTCTTGACGCTCCGTCTCGAATGTCCGTCGTCAACTGTGCCTCAGGCTCCTGTGGCTTTGCGGGCGCCTTCTTACAACTCTCGTCAGTACTGCTTCTGAATAAGTGCATCGCTCGATGCACTCCTTGGATAATGCTCCTGAAGAAAAAGTGCATCACTTGATGTGCACCATGAGTCATACTGATGGCAATAGCTCGCACCTGTTGTGTCAACGCGATGGCGATCGACGCATTGGGGACGGGCCGCGCATGGTTCGTCGCCGA